CGGGGGGGGGGGGGGTGCTGCCCCAGCCAGGGCCCAGTGACGGAGGGTTCCAGGTTGTCTTCAAGGGCGGCCCCACATGCAGTGTGCATGGCAGTAATCTAGTCTGCACATAAAGCACAAGGCAAGGCCGGCCTGGCTGGGGATGAACCTGCCATAGCTGGTTAGAGTTGGAAGGTACCTTGCAGGTCATCTAGACCAGCCCCCTGCACTCTGCAGGAGCAGAGCCAAAAGATAGCCCTACAACATAGCCGAAAGATGGTCGTCCAGCCTCCGCTTGGAAACTTCCAGTGAAGGAGCATCCACCACCTCCTGAGGCAGACTGTTCCACTGCTCAACCACCCTGACAGTTAGGAAGTTTCTCCTGCTGATATTTAGCCGGTAACGACTCCCTTGTAATTCACACCCATTCGATCTAGTCTTGCAATCCGGAGCAAGAGAGAATAGATCTGCTCCATCTTCTACATGACAGCCCTTCAGGTACTTGAAGACGGCAATCCTGTCCCCTCTAAGCCTTCTCTTTCCCAGGCTAAACAGACCCAACTCTTTCAGCCTTTCCTCGTAAGACTTGGATTCCAGCCCTCTCACCATTCTGGTTGTCTTCTTCTGGACACGCTCGAGCTTGTCAACATCCTTCCTAGAATGTGGTGCCCAGAACTGGACACAGGACTCTAGGTGAGGCCTGACCATAGCAGAATAGAGCGGAACGACCACCTCCCGTGATCTGGACACCAGGCTTCTGTGAATGCGTCCTAAGATCGCATTAGCGTTCTTCACAGCCAATAAATCACACTATGACTTCGACAAGAAAAACCACATAAATACAAAAGGTTTTAAAAGGGGGATTATATTTACTTATTTTAAAAGAATTATGAAGCCAGAATGCTAGCAGGGGGTTGGGGGCTATCCAGTGTTTGAGGAAGGATTTTGACAAGCTGGAGCGTGTCCAGAAGAGGGCAACCGGGATGGTGAGAGGGCTGGAATCCAGGTCTTACGAGGAAAGGCTGAAAGGGTTGGGTCTGTTTCGCCTGGGAAAGAGATGGCTTGGAGGGGACAGGATTGCAGTCTTCAAGTATCTGAAGGGCTGTCATGTAGGAGATGAGGGGAGGGGAAGGGAGAGGAGTTTGTCAGCCGCTCTGAGACTCCAAGTGAAGGGTGGGGTATACGTCCAATCTCTCCTTCTTCTCCGGCCAGCTGGCGTGGGGACGGTCTGCCACCACGTTGCCCTCGACGGCTCTTGGTCCCCGGAGGGCTCCTCTGATGCCCCTTCTGCTGTTTCCACAATAAGTGCCGGGCAAGCACCTGGGAGAGACGGGATGTGGCGTCAGTGGGCCAAAAGGTCCCAGGCCAAGCAAAGGCCGGGCAGCAAGGAGGGCGTGGTCTATGCAGGAGATCTGTTTAGCGGATTGGAAAGTCCCAGTCCCAGTCGGTGAACTAAAGGGTCAAGCGTGCTTTCCGCTCGGAAAAGGGGAGAAAGAGAGGACACCGCGCAGGCGCGGAAGGGCCCAAGCCCCCGGCTCGACGGCCCGAGACACCACCCCGAGTGTCTCCCCGAGGCCCCGCCCCCGCCGCGAGGTTCCCCTGACGTCAGGCCCCTCCGAGGGGGGAGGCGGGGCCGTGCCGCAAAGGCCGGTGGGGGCTGTAGTTTCCCCTCCCGCCGTCGCAAGCGCCGGGCAGGCGAGAGGCGCGGAGCCGCCGGAGGAGGAGGAGGAGGAGGAGCCCGCCGCCGCCGAGCCCGCCCCCCTCTCCTCCCTCCCTCCCTCCCGGGCGGCGCTTTCGCTTTCGCTTGGCGGGCATGGCCATGGCGGCGGCGGGGGCCGTGGAGGTGCGGGGCGTGCCGCCCGAGGTGGCGGACGAGCTGCTGGTGCTCTACTTCGAGAACCGGCGGCGCTCGGGCGGGGGCCCGGTGCAGAGCTGCCGGCGGAGGGGCAGCCGCGCCCGCCTCG